TTGTGCTACTAATGCTTTTATAATGGTTGGTGATATTGTACCGAATGCGGCATAAATATTTACCCATTATTTAAACAGAAACTGAAAAATATCAAGTCGTAAAAATATATCGAGTTAATTTAGTCATTCTTTTAATCGTACTGCAAGAACGAAAACATTCGAGAACAAGTACTTAAGTCCGTGTCTCCATAGAATACATTTACAAGTACATTCCTATATTAACGAATTACCACCCCACTGTAGAGCTGTGGTATGGAAGCTACTTTTGCAGATCCTCCATAATCTAATGAATTTGATCCTCACTAGGTGCCTCACACTTTTCACTCGCTATGCTACCAGGTGTGGCGTACAAATTTGCCCATTATTTAAACAAACTGAAACAAAGTTACTCGTAAAAATAGTTTCAAGTTTCGCATGTTTCCCAAAATTACTTTTTTTTACTGTTTTGTGACTGAACCGAAATATAATCAAATTGCATTGAAAATGGCTGTTCTGAAGGATTGTAAGGTGCAGAAAAAATTGTCTTTAATGTACAAAAAAAACCCCAAAAAACATTTCAATAGGAGCGAACGACTTTATCACATGCAATTCCAGGAAAAAACCGTTCAGCTCGTACTAGGGTTAGTAAGAAAAATAACACAGGTCAACACAATTTTTAATGCCAAGAAACAAAACACATCTTTTACCTAATTTGATGATACTGATTCCGAATATAAACTTAGTATTTCATGGTTAGCTGCCGTTTTTGTTGTACTCATTTTTGGAAAAAAAGATCAATTTAAGATCTTGGTTGAGCGCAAAGTTCAGTTAATAAAGGTCGTAAAAACCCATCAGTTTTCAGGTAGGTTGAGCAATTTATGTCAGCAACCTGAAATAAACTATTTTTATAAGAAAAAAAGGTGTTTTTGAGTCAAACATTTTAAAACAGATTTACCGAACTTTTCCAGTTCATCGCCAAAATTCAAATTAACTGATAAACTTTATCAGTCAAATACTATAGTAAATCCGAAAATTAAGGTGGCTTAAAAAAATAAAACTCCAAAAATCTTCTGTTTGATATTCATAAATTTATCCTAACACTTTTATCCCTTCACTACGAAAGGAAAACCAAGTTTGTTTTCACAGTTGGAAAGAAACTCCAACTAAAGACATCTCAATTGAATGCACCTTTTCCATTGTACATGATACTGCCGGAGTATTAAAAGGGACTTAAATAACATTGAACATGACAGACAATCAAGAAAGAGAAAATATTTACCATAGTTCTTATGTTCACAAAGGTTTTATTTCTGCTGTTAGTTTATTAAATGATTTGATGAAATACTTGTTGGTCTTGGTATATTCAATCGTGTTATTTTTAAAGACTTAGGGTCTGATTGTTGTTGCAATTTCTCAATAAGCCGACCAATATTTGTTGGTTTAAATATGAATTTAGAGGTTTCTACGATTTTGAGAGATACTGCCATCGGTCAATGTCATATATCTAGAAAAAATATGCTTTTTTTTTCCAAAAATGAGATATTTCTGCACAGTAAAAACGAAAGGTAAACAAAAAAATGTAGGGTAATTTTTAGTCTCAGCTCCCTTATTTTATCTAAAAAATGCTTGTTTTATTTTATTTTTACCAGTGTAATCAATCAATCAACTTAAGCAGTATGTGAGACTTTAAATATATATATATATATATATATATATTTTATAATTTACTGTATTGAAAATATCTTTGAAACATTCTGTACATAATAGATTTTGTTCATCCTTTAGAGCAATTCATCACCATTTTACGCCTATTTTCTATTCGAAAAGTATGTAGACAGACATAGAAATGGCTTTAGCATGTTCTTTAATGGTTGTTTACAGAGAAATTTTCCAGATCTTGAAGGAATATGATTAAATCGTAACCACATGAGGTGCC